CTCTCTCTCTCTCTCTCTCTCTCTCTCCCGTGTGGAGGGAACGGCGGAGTTCTTTCTCCGGGCAATCTATTCTCTTAAGTTTTAAGTAAGCGGTACGTATCGCCGATTCTGCGTTTTCATAAAGGCCGTAATGCATCTTCATTTCACGGGCCGGTCCTCTTCGCCGAGTAGTTTCAAGTTATAGCCTCCCGCACGCCGGAACTTCGGCAGTTAGAACTTGTAAATTATAATAACCGTGTAGTTACGACTTGCACAAGGATGTCGTAACTTTTTAATTGTGTATAACGGGAATTTCACGAGAAATCGAATAATTTATCGGGAGGGAGGGAGAAGAGAAAAAAGGATCGGGATTGCAAATTTATTTGGATAATTTGTTGAAGAAACTGGGGCAAATGAACTTTGATATCGATGATGCAGTACATCATCGTATGTACAACCGAATTTACCAACCGTAACGCTGAAGCATATAAATTGGAATCTCCATGAACGGATATCGCGAGTTTTTACACTCGCGTGTGATAGAAATTTTACGAGTAGTCGTAATTTTTGATAAAACGCGGAACTGAAGACCTTCTATCCAGTTTTTGGTAGTTATTGTCGTCGATGTTCGCCATAACGCGTAAGAGAAGCTTATCAATTAATTTATCGCTCATTGACTGAACTTCCTATTTATAGAAAAAATCGTTCGATATCAACGTAATTACGCTGACAGTGGAGTTTCGTTATTCTAAATGCATCGAGGGTTCGCCATTAACGTCGTTCTTCATTACTACCCATTAAAATTTCTTCCGTCCTCTTGCTCCGGCTTGGTCCTTCATTAATGTCGTTAAAACTAAAATAAACTCGTCGCTGCCGAGCCCTTTGTACCTTTTCGCGTATTCTTATCCTTCCTAAAAGGGAGAGCGTCTATCTCGCTTCGTCGTCACCTTTCTCGTCCTGCAGCGAATGCGAGAAGAAACGAATGTAAAACATCGACCACGAGCATTGATCAATCCCATTAAACGGTTTAATTAAGGTTAATTGAATTCTCTTGCAGAGCACTTGTACGATCGGCGCAAAGGAAAATGGCGGACGCGCTTCAACCGCGTCAGAAGACTTTGCCTTGGCTGGCGTTGAACGAAGTTAGTTCTAACTCTGAAAATTTCGCTTATTAACTAATCTGCGTTGCAGGAATTGGTAGAGATAGTCTGTACGACGACCTCTGATCGATATTTTCTTACGTGAAATTTAGGTATTCATAGGAGAATTCATGGCGGCCAGGCCAATAACGTTGCACGTCGGAGTTGAAAACCACGCGCCATATCAAATTCGAAGTTCGGGTATATGCGTTTGTACGGGCACCGGCTCCCGGTTCTGGTACAAATCTATTAACGTACAGTCGGCCGAAACCGTTCGAAGCATCGTCGAAATAGCCACCGGCGATAAATTAAGCCTCGAGGAAACCAACGAATTGCTCCACAGATACCATCAGGCTCTTCTCTACTCGGCAGGTAACTAGATCGTTTAACGTTAATAACTGCACGTGTATCAAGTGAACAGCGATGATGGGCAATCCGCTGTGTGTGTTACACTGTGCCATCAAATTAAAAATTGCCGATCTTTGATCGAGCGATGAAACAGAGTGAAAAAAAAAAAGAAAGGAAAGTAAAATATACTCCCGAATTTGCTGTTCCCGAGGAAACCGTTGATGCTTTTTCAGAGGATTTAAACATGATATACATGATCCGCGAGATATATCATACCACGCGTTGCCCGAAGAAGAAGTGCTGCCCGGACAGACAAAAATGCAGCAAGCTTACTGTGAAATCCTGTGGCTTTGACGCCGGCCTGGTGATAGACGGAAGCATCTCCTTGCCCTTCAACGACGGTGCTATTGCCACTTTCGACATCAAGCCCGAGTATTCCTTGAGAAGCATCGTGCTCACCTGACACACGGTCGCTTATATGACTGTGGAGAAATAAAGGTTCCTTAGAAAGCGAGCTTGGTAAAACTTTTCTGAAAGAACGTGCACATTTTGTCCGATTGACAGGCAGAAAGTAACGACATAAATCATATAAATTAATCACTCAAATTATTTATTGACAATTTAATAATTTATTCTTTATTATCATCAGTGTTCTTTCTATATTATTTCAAACTATATTTCTGGATTTTTCAAGTTTTACAATTACATTTTTTTTTTTTTTTTTTTTTTTTTTTTAATGAACGAACGTGTCCGGTTTAATTAATCAAAGACTCCTCTCTTGCGAGAACGAACAGAGAGCGAAAAAAAAAAAGAAGAAAGAAGCGAATTCACTCTGAGGATCTTCCGATTCCAGTTTTAATGCAGCCCGAACTCTTATTTATCTCGAATGACGGAGGCGTAGAGCAAAGTAACAAGTAATTGCGCGCATTTGTTCCCAAAATGAAGATGGTCCGGAGCTGAAAGATAGGAAGAGCCGGTTATTTCACCGGCAAAAGGCAACGCTGGTCTTTTTCAGCAACAAGAGGCAGAGTGAAATACCTTTCCGTTTCCCGTTTCCTTGCAAGGAGGCCAGCTCACGTCCAGACTTCCATTAACCCCGTAATTTCGGTTTCGGCTGAACCGCAGACACCCCGACCTTCGAGATCAGGTGTTCATACTCCGTATCTCTGCTTGTGTACGAATAAACATGCAGAGATACTCTCACACAGCCCCATCGGTTTACCCGCTGTGTTCTGGTCAAGTACATGTTCTTTGGTTTAGACTTCTTAACCAGAAATAACACTACCTTGCCGAGTTAATTCTGTTCTACGCGTTTCATCCAAGTTGGGTTCTTTCTTTCCC